TAGTCGGCAGGGAACTCCATACGTACCGCCTACATACTTCTCAGTCTGGCACAACTTCCCCACTTGGGCATTGAAGTCGCCTGTTAAAAAAACTATGTCTGAACGTTTTGCTTTTTGCAGGAAATTAGACAGTTTCAGGTAGAAATCACCCTTTAGTTCATTCGAACTGCGGTCTGTTGGGGCGTAAGCGGAGACTACGAAAAGGCAACAACGGGTAGCGCCGCCTTTCCTTCTTTTAACGAACCCATTCAGACGGACCGCACACATACGAGTATCTACTGGGATCCAGTCAAGAAGTGATTTTTCCGACTTAACACTCAGCGCTATCCCTACACCTGCGAGTCCTCGCGAGCTAGCTGGGGGATCTTCTGACACCTATAAAGGGAATTTTGTAGATTCACCTTGTTGTCCAGGTAAGGTTAAATGAATGACCACACTCGGGTCTTGTATGAGTGTCTCCGAAACACAACATACATCCATGGCTCGAGTTGCCAGAGTTCTTGCTAGTGATGCTTGTTGTGCGATTCGACAGAGGGTCCTGGCGTTAAATGCTCCTATATGGAGTTGGTGACGTGGCCTTAAAAGGCTGTCGGAGGTGTTTGTATGGCTCTCGCCTTTGTTCGTGGTCACACAGTGAAGTGAAGATGACTCATTAGCCTGGAGAGTAGCACTAACTGTAGTAGAGAAGCAAGATGAGGAAGGTGATGTGATTGAAGGGGAATGATTCCCGGGGAGGCTTCGTATGCTTTTGGAAGTGTGTGGGCGGTTGTTACTTCCCGTCTGCCCACACCGTGGAAGTTGATTGATTCTTCGGGTACCTGAAACAGAGTGACGCGTGACCGCAGAGCCCAGGGTAGAACGGCTTGAGGCCGGTCACACACGGCCTGTATGAACTGGTTTCTTGGTTTGGTTCCGTATTAATAAACTTACCGCCAGTTAAGGACCACCGTAGGGTAATTCGGGATGTACAATTGTTGGAGTCGACCTTTTCTAAACCCTCTCTCCAGAGTAGAAAGACAGCATAGCTGGCATTCTGGTCATCTGAGGGAAAAACCTTTTGCTGTTACATCCCTGTTCGCCCACACACCTCCCTGCATAGTTTAAAAAGAAATGCTTACACTATGCCGGTAATTGCTTTTAGTCAAATCGCTATCTTAACACTTTTCCTGGTGTGGTAGGACCTGCAGGAACAGTAGTTTCAGTTAGTGTAGCTTTTTGAGTCATCAGGATGTGCGAGCCCGAGCACCACGTCAAGGTAGCAGCTATCGGTCGAGATCATATTTTGGGTAAGAAATAAATTGCAGAAAACATCCAAGTACTGCGTACTTCAAACAGAAGAGGCTCTCTCGATTCGCGTGAAATAACCAGTGCTTTGTGTGTCAAAGAAGGAAGTCCAGCCACTACTATCCCCCTGACCTTCAGTTGAAATTATAAATCTATGAATTTCTGTTATTATTTTCCCTATTTTGTTTGATATTCAGTGTATTGTTATAGTGATGCTACAAGAATTTAATCCATTGATATTATTATCACTGGTTTGATGTTACGTAAACATTAATGCTGTTAATAGCATTAATTCATTTACTATTACATGTATAAAATTGTTGGACCTGATAATGAAGTTATTGAAAAGAATGTTCTTTGTTCAGTAGCCATTCTTTTGAAAATAATAATGATTATAATGACTGTAATAATAAAACATTGTAAAGAAAAGAGAGAAGGGAAAGAAAATTATGGAGGTAAAATAAAAGTACGCTATCAAGGCAGATTTAAAGTAACAGCTGACTCCTGTCATATACACAGATTTGACTTATGCTATTTTGATATGCAACTAGAGACTAATTAATGATGTTATTTCTGATGGATGGTAACTAGAAATGGACTACAGGAAATGTCCATTTCGTCCTGTTTAGGACTCGTCCGTTAATGAATGTACTTCCAATCCCCAGTGAGTGATGATGATATTCTCACTAAAGATTAAATCATTTGTATTTTATACGGTCTTAAAGAAAGTTATTCCAGACTCAAATATACATTTACGAATGTCATTAACTTCACTAATGATCAATACGAGTTGGAATATCAAACAAGAAAAGAAACTTAAATTTTACTGAGGCCTCATATAATACACCTTGTTTTGGTGTATTGGTAAATCAAATCATTTAGATCTACCTGTCTATTGATGTTTAAAATATCTAATTTTCATTTTACCTATAAAATACATCACTACTGTACAGACTTTTATATAAAGATATGATAAAAAGTTGATCATTCCACAGGGAGCAGTTGTACTATATTTTCAAAGTTAATGAAATTACCACTGGTGAAATGAGAGTAATAATAATTATAATTATTACTATAATAAATTTTTGGCCTAATATCTTCATGCAGTAAATTAACACGTAGAGATTTTCAGTACTAAGCAGATTCATTGCATATGTGATATCAGTACCACGTTAGACAGAAAAGCTTTTGTTAACAGGATAATAAGGCTGTGCATATAAATTGCGTTAATGAATAGTAATTATGGTTATCACTGATCACTTCACATTTTCATCCTTGTTATTGATACTATTATTATTATTATTATTATGACTAATTGCACAATTAATACGCACAATCTTATTATCCCATTGACAAAACACCGTGATTGGCTTATATTTGAGTTTGATTTGAAAGTTACGTATGTTAGAGAAAAGATTTTACTCAAATGTTGGTTTACAGAGATTTGATTGGTTGCAGTACTTCATCATGAGCTGACATCGATCAAAGAAACATTGGAAAATCTGGGAGCACTGGACAGCTGTTTCCTCAATCCGAGTTTGGGATTCTTCGTCAGTACGCACCCACCACCAGGGTACGAAACCACGACCCTACAACTCATAATGAAAACCTAGAGAAGATTTAGTATTTTTGTATGCAACCTGATAACAGTATATTAGGCAACAAAATACCACTACCCATTCAGTATATAAATGCATTTTATTATATAAGGAGTTGAGATATAGATAATATTTACAAGTAACGAATTCTAAAGTTATCTAATGCCCTCCTTCTAATTTTTAATCATTTTATTAGAATTAAAATACAGTTTGTCACAAAAATGGCAAAAGTCAGACCTGTTGAACGAAAACTAAATTTAATTAAACCCCTTGCCATCGGATCCGATGCCCTAGAAGCATAACTAGATTTTTTTGAAAGGAATCTTTATCCCAAATAGATACCCACGTAGATTCATTGAGAACATCAAACCAAGTACAGGGAAACGGAACATCATATTTGTACCAAAACAGACTTTACAAGAACCTTGACTTCAAGGGAGATTTCATCTGCGATAGCTTTAGGGGAAGAATATCAACATCTTTGAGGAAAACACTCTTCTCACTAACGCTAAGAGTAGTGTTATCCAGTTATGCACTGGTCTGCAGAAGCCTGAAAGGCAAGATCTAGCATCTGACCACTTTGTGTGTACATATCAGTTCCTCCGTTCCTGTGGAGCCAGTTATATTGGTGGCTCAACAAGTATCCACTGAGGTTTTCATTACCTCTTTTTTATGAAGAGTCGCTCCACTTTTTTGTCTCTCTTCTTTTAATTACTATAAGTAACTGCACAATTTATATGTACAATCCCACCATTCCTACTGAAAAATCACCGCGAACGGTTAATATTTAATTACAGTTATTTGTGAAAAATATGTGTATTAGAGTAGAGCCTTCTCATTTCAGCGGCTATGAAAATAACCAACCAACAACAGCAACAACATCCAACGTCAATCACCATCAACGGGAGGGATTTGAAAGAGGTTACTTCATTCACTTGTCTAGGGAGCATTGTCTCAACTACAGGAGGAGCGGACGAGGATGTCAAATCGAGCGAGAATCGGGAAGGCGAGAAACACATTCATCAGCCTGAAATCAATCTGGAAATCTTAGTCACTAAGCATCACCAACAAAATTCGGACTTTCAGTACAAACGTAAAGTCAGTTCTTCTATACGGATCAGAAAATTGGCGGATCACAAAGAATATTTCAAAAAGGCTGCAGACCTTTATTAACAACTGTCTTCGCTCAATACTGAGGATCAGATGGCCGGAAAGAATCACCAACAAGGAATTATGGGAACAAACAAAGCAAGAACCGATCGCCCAACAAATATGCAGGAGAAAGTGGAGATGGATCGGACACTCGCTGAGGAGACCGCTGGGTGACATCGCGCGCCAAGCCCTCGAGTGGAACCCGAAAGGGAAGCGGCGTGTGGGACGTCCAAGGGTGACATGGAGGAGATCGTGTGAAGAGGAGTTGAAAGAATATGGATTAACATGGATGCAGGCGAAAAGTATAGCAGAAGACAGAAGAAAATGGAGACGTGCAGTTGAAGCCCTATGTTCCACTAGGAACCCAAGGGAGCAATAATAATAATAATAAGAGTAGAGCCTGATGGGGCCTAATTGAAAACAGCGCTGTTCTCTGACATGTGTTGTTTTAAAAGTGCATTACTAGATCAACTATTCGATTCAACTACTCTAAAAAGATAATACACATCACTGAAATCATGTCGAAAAAGTAGCACTTCGTGTGTCTAACAATAATTTTTCATAACAGAGTATACATATGTCACTATTTTCTTTCCTGAATTGAAAATTATTATTATACATTAGTTACCTGTGGTTCCTTTCCAATAACGTTTCAGCCTATATACTATTATATACATATTTTTTATTTCTTTGCTTGGTTAGTGGAAAATAGGGGGCTTCAAGATTGCGATTTCTAGCTTCAGCAGTGGTGGAGTTACTGTTTTTACAGGATTAGGCTGGTAGTCTTACGCTCAAACTTCCGTCTTTACCAGGCTTACTACTGGCTAAACGAGGTTTAGGAGTATATCGGTCGCGGATTGAACGTCAGACGACGAGTATTCTCCCACTGGATAGTAATTTTTAAAATTAAACAGGCAAATACACACAATACATAATGTGACATTGGGAATCAAAAAGAAAACTCACTTGAAGTCGACCTGAATAAATATCATACGATAGAAGAAAGTGTGTATTACTTGAGTGTAGAGATGCTGCGCCACGTACACGTGTACCTGTAAAAGTAGGCACACCACTGCTAACAACACCACCATAATTATCACTGGGAACACCAGTATCATTCACATCATCATCATCACCATTAAGTACAGATAAACTCATGATCAGTTTAGTTTGATTTGGTGCCAATTCCATAGGTTGAGCAGCATAATGAATCTTGATTTCAAGTGATGAATTTTACATTATTTTTCCACAGAAAAGAAAAGAGAAATCATTCAATTCATTTCAATAAATAACGGTACTGAATGATATAAACGTTGAATGTGTATCTTTCAGTATATAAATTTTACCAATTAACAAATATGACGATATATAAGCGGTGACATTTGTAAGCGTATAATTTCTTCTCTCTCTCTCTCCTAGTTTTGGTTCTTGTCTTCAATGCCCCTGATTATTCATTTTGATAATTAAAGGCTATCCAAAGCCCATAACGTTGATGATGATGAATAAATAAACGAAGTTTTGTCAGACCTATTACCAACTATATATATATATATATATATATATATATATATATATATATATATATATATATATATATATATATATATATATATATACTTTTGTTAGTACCGGGTAGGATAAATACTTAAAGATGATCAAGAGGATAAACGTTACACTAGGAACATTCAAGTTTGTGATCTAAAGCTTTCTTTCATTGCTTCAATTATCATATCCCAGATACACGTGGAAGTTTCAATTAGTGTTGATGAGGTTAATAATAATAATGATGACAATAATAATAATGTTAATGTTAGATGGTTGGAGGTAATAGATAGGAGGCTTCCGACTCAGGTTTCATATCTGTTATCACTATTCAGCAAGGCATTTCCACAACCTAAAAGGACCAGTGACTTATGGATAAGATTTTATTTTTATAAATCACACAGTGTTGTACAGTTATATTAACTGATGACGTTTCGAGCACAAACTTCTCTGAAATTCGAACCCGCTTCACGCATTGTTGTGGTCAGAGATGTTAACACTGAGATATTCGGGTTCACGATTGAACTGCTGTAGGATTGTAATGGATACTTAATGATCATAATTATCATTAGTAATATTAATAACTGATATTGTGAAAAAGCAAGATAACGGCGCGGAATAATATCAATGCTCAATGTATATTTATATACTGACATTATTTACTGTTGCTTCTTTGATATTCTTTAGTATTTCAATCGACATTTTTCTTATTTCTTCCATCATGACTTTACCGTTTGAATATTAAAAAAATTAGTACTATTTTTCCAAAGAGCATTACAATATATATTACACTTCTTATATCTACTGCACCACTATAAACCTATAGCAATGTAAAACTATTCCAGTCGATGAATCCGTAGCCAAAGTGAAAAAAACCACTGCCTAATTCGACGGTAAAAGATTCTTATTCAACCAGAAGCAACTTAAAAGAAACATCACAAAAACACAAATAAAGACAATTAACAGTTGCCGCTATTTTAAGATATAATGAACTATACCGCTTACACAGTTGAACACAAGAGGATTTCAAGTTTCCCTTTTGACAGTGAATTACCGAGTGAATCGATTAAATATCTGTTGAACTAGTGCTAATTATCTGGAGTTTCTATCTATCAAACTCTCCAATTCGAATGCAAAAGTCTTTTGCAGCTGTCACTATATATTGTATTATGCTTGTTGAATATTAAGTAGTAATAATAAGCAAAGATTAGTTTGCTATTTTATTTTTCAACAAATATGTCAAGATTGCTTTTTTTTTATCCTAACAAATAAAAAGAGTTCATTCACAATTGATGATAAACAGTATGTCCTCTAATGACCGACACAAAGGCAAAGAATATGGTTATGGTTCGCAACTGTGTAATACCTTTTGGTGATCACTGCAAACAATTAAAATTAAAACAACTTAATTATCTATGTATTAGTCAGACTTGAGCTATTACCAGGTGTTATGTAGCTGCTGCTGAGTGGTTAATAGTAGTTTTCCCCGTCGCCAAATTGTTATGTACTCGTCGCCAAATTATTATTATGTACTGGTCGAGAATTTAATAGTCCTGACGCAAGAAAAGACGGAAATCAGAAGACCACTAGGTTTGCGATGATACTTCTATTTTCCGTACACAAGGAGAATCAAATCACACAAGAGTGTGAATGCAATATATATATATATATATATATATATATGTACAGACAAGTGTGTGAACAAATCAATAGACAGTCTTAACATGAATGGCTAATTATAATGGAGTATCAATCCATACATACATAGCAAAATATAGCAGACATGTCAACAACCACACATAATATGGATATATGTCACCAAGCAACGGACTGTCAACAAACACACATATTATATATAATATAAGGGGAATATACATTGTTAAAGGAGACAGGTTCATCAAAGTGAAATGGTCACAGACTAAGAGAGCAATAGAAAGAGAGACCACCATACACACACATATATATGGATACATATCACCAGGTCGCTGAGACTTGGTTCAACTTCAGAGTTGAGACGTTGACATTCCATGAGCTGCATCTCCTCAACTTAGACTGATATAAGATGTAGAAGATTTAGGACAAATGAGTTTGGAAGACAACTATAGTGATAAGGCAGTGAATGTTGTCTCCTTCAACGTCATCAGGTTATTTATTCATGATGGTGGTCAAATTAAGATAAGTCAAGAATTTAATAAGGTTTTGACTGTCTGCTTAAGGTACCTGTGTGAACGTAGGCCACCCAAAATCGAAAGGAAAGGAGACCCAGGGAGGCTTTAAATGTATGAAAAGCGAGAATTTGAATCGTGTACTAACTTCACAGTGATACTCACTAATCAAATGCCTTCACCGTTTGTTTTTACAAATCTGCTGATGAATTTTTTTAAACGTGTTTTGGTAAATTATTACATGCTTATTCGGTATAGTTTCTGCATAGTTCTAAATCTATCTGTTGGTCTCTAATGTAGAGGTATATACTGATCACATTCCAAATTTAACACAGATGAAACTTTTACTTCGTAAATAATAGAGAAAGAGATATACCATATATATATATATATATATATATATATATATATATATGTCTCCTCACTATATCCTTTTCTGCAGCATAGAGTGCAAATTACCTATTGATCTGTGTATGCGTATCAAACTGTAACCTAACCGATTTCAATAGTTTTAAGGTCATCATGATTGAACACTGATAGTTGCTAGTGTTTATATATATATATATATATATATATATATATATATATATATATATATTATGTTTGTTCTCTTTTTGTTCAAGTTCACTCTTTAGATTATGAATTTTTGTGGGAATTGAGATTAATTTCAGTGTAGATTAAGTGCAGCACGAACCAATACTATTTTGAGAATCGCTGAAAACCAGGAGGTGCTAATCAATCTGGTTTGGAACTCTTTATCAGTGTACACCCACAATCCCACCAGAAATTCAACTAGACACTTCAAGTCACGAAACCAAGCTCGTTGACCTTTCAGACACTAGAGTTGACCATTCAGTGACCTGTGAATTCCAAATTCTGTTAATTCATGATATAGTACTACAGTCAACCAATGCCTTCGATAAGCATCTAATTCATCTTGATATGATGGAACTCATTGGCCAAGACTTCGCAGTGCAAATGAAGAATATCCACCTAGTAACTATGAGTAACCTGGAGATTGATATTTAGAATATGGGTTTTCTTAGCGACTTGGATCAATTTTAATCCAAGTGTCTGAATGCACAACAAGCTTGACCTCTTAGCCCGAAGGTCTTGAGTTCAATCTCAGGTAGAGTCATGGATGCACACCGCTGAAGTGTATCAAATAAGGACAAAACGACTGCCCAGCACTCCTTAACTCCTGTTGGTTCACAACGCAATCGACATTGTCATTAGTTACTATCTATATGTGGTGGATATTCACTTTTTCGATTACAGTAAGGATAATTATTTTGAAAAAAAAGAATTACCTTTAAATAGTCACCTCTTACCTGTAGGTATTTATTGATTGGTTCAGGGAAAATAGGTTTTGACAAAGGCAGCACAAAATCGTATTGATTGGTTACGCTAAAGTTGAAAAGCAAAGCTGTACGTTGTCTTTGTTGACTGTTTGAAAGTGTGAAAGTTTCGATTTTCTGAACATTTGAGGATAAGAAACTGGAAAAATAGTTGGGAAAGAAAGACATAAGGAGAATCTTAATTCAAAGATGAGAAAAGAAGACAAATTGAAAGATTTTTATCAACAGCACTATTTCACATAATGCGAGTGATCCCATACATATTCATCTAACAAAATTTGCCATTGTTTTGGACCATCATGATTAGCAGTGGAATCCAGGATACAAGTTACTTTCTATTTGAAACTTATCAGCTGGATGTAGCTGCATCCCTGTGAGTAACGGCTTTCTCAATGAGACTCGAACCCTGCACACATCGGTGCAAACGCCAAATCATTATCCACTAGGCCATAAAAACCACCTCTTGTGAGATAGATATAAGTTATTATTTGTTTTTCAGCCTAGAGATAATGCTTGGGCGTTAGAAACGAGGGGTCCAGCCTTCAAGTCTCAGTGGGAACACCATTATTACGCACTGGGAATGCAGGTACACTCGGGTAACAAGTCCAAAATAAGATGAAGTGTGCATCCTGGATTCCACTGCTTATCACCACCAACCAAAATAACTTCACGTCAATCCTCAGACATCGTTAAAGCGTCAGTACTAGGAGCCGACATGTCAACACAGACCAAGCATTTCGGTTCCACATAATCGATCAAAGGGAAACGTGAACTGACCGTAAAATACATATAAATGCGTAAATGTTGTGAAGCTACTTTAGTGGATCGGTAGAAGTTTGCAACATGATCCATTGGCTTTCATTTCACTAGATGAATGAAAAACCTTCTCTCTCTCCCTGTCTTGGCGACAGCATTATAATACAGCTACCAGTATGCAGTGTTGAAGATTTCTAAACTAGAAGGAAGAAGATATACCTTACCTCTGGTTATTAATAACTCTTTCAGTTGTGTATTACAACGTAAAACTTGATTAGGAGAAATATTTTTTAACTGAAACAAAATATTTATATCACAAAGATGAACAATAAAATAATTAGTTTAATGAGCTGACATTAGTTACAGAACCATAGGAAAACCTGGGAGTACTGGACAGCTGTTTCGTCCTCGTCTAGGACTCTTCAGCTGTACGCACCCACCTGAAACCAATCAAATCCCTACAAACCAACACTTGAATTAGTTTAATGTTCCATCATCTTATTATTTCAAATTAAAGGTCATTATCAGGGTCAGGTGTGAAATTGATACTGTACAAACACATGATCATAATTAAAATATATATCACAACTATACAGTGGCAAAAATCATCTATGTTCCTAAAATCTACTTATCGATAAGTAGACGGTTTTTATTGAACGTGGAGAACATTTGTATGGTTTGAATATTTATCTGAGTTCTAGAGACCTGAAAATAATAATGATAATAATTTTAATAACGATATATTTTCAGACCGAATCAATGAATTTATTGAATAAGATAAACTATCTATAGACGTAAACCATAATGCTGTCTGCGAAGATGTTTGTATGAGTTAGTATAGATGTTATGTACTCGTCGCCAAATTATTATTATGTACTGGTCGAGAATTTAATAGTCCTGACGCAAGAAAGACGGAAATCAGAAGACCACTAGGTTTGCGATGATACTTCTATTTTCCGTACACAAGGAGAATCAAATCACACAAGAGTGTGAGAGCAAAATATATATGAATGTCCAAACAAGTGTGTGAACAATTCAATAGACAGTCTTAACATGAATGGCTAATTATAATGGAGTATCGATCCATATATACATAGCGAAATATAACAGACTGTCAAACAAACACACATTATATGGATATATATATATATATATATATATATATATCACCAAGAACAGACTAAGAGAGCAACAGAAAGAGAGACCACCATATACATAAATATATATATATATATATATATATATATATATATATGGATACATATCAATAGATCCCTCTATCACTGAGATGTCGAGATATTATTCAAAATTCCGTTTGGAAATTTGTCCCTGTTTTATGCACTATGATACGACAAGCAGCAGAAAAAAACAAAATCTCTAGAAACAGTAACAAAAAATAAACAATGGCATTCATTTTTACTGTCAACAGTATCATTTAATATTGAAGATAGACATTTCAGTAGTACACATGGAAGATAAGGGGTAGGATGTTCTCTAGCCATAAGTGTGGTTCAGGTTCGATTCCTGAACGACTCACTTCTACGTCTCGACTAACCCGTAGTAAACCCGATCAAGAAGGAGGTTTGGGCGTGGTGCTAGCAAACTCAACCGAAACGCTACTGAAACTCCAAAGCATAAAGCCTAAAGCTTTATGTTGGAACCCGAAGGGGTAATAGAGAGGAAAGAAAACCATGGTTCTCTCCCTTCACACAGTGAGCTGAAGAGTTAACGATCCTCCAACATTTTGCATCATGCAAAATAATGGGAACAATAAAAATGGTAATTTTATTCATCCAACACATGAATACTATGACATAAATAGCCATATAAATTTTTGAGTAGACGAAGTACCCAAAGGACCAAAGGAAATATAAATTCACAATTCTGATTTAATAAACAGATATTCATTTTTACAAGATTAAAATGTCATTTTAACTTGAAATATCCAATTCACAGCAGTTTATATCGCTTGTAAAAGTTAAATCAAGAATAATGAATAATAAATCATTGATTCAGCTTAGTTAGAAACCTGTCACCTGCATATTTAATTCATATATACTGGTTTCGTTACACTGATATTTTCTGGGCTTATTATAACAGTGATGATGACTGCGTTTCAGCAAAGAACTATGCACAGAATAAACCAGTTCAAGTAGCCACACTCCAAATACCACACAAAAGTAGAGAATTGAGAGAATAAAGAGATTCAAGATAACTTCTATAAATTAGCAGAAATGCACGGGAGAAAGAACAGTGACATGGAAAAATATGACCGTGCAGTAGGTGTGGAAAATCATAATAACTGAATGCAACTGAACCATTGGGAATGATTTCGAACCATACCACCAACGGTCAGTCTTAAGCCATTTGTCCTTAGCATCTCAAGTACTCCAACCCGGCAGCCTAAATCTCACTACGTGGGTGGCACAAACCAGCTGTCACACTTGGTGGATTGATCCCAGGCTTTTGGTTTGGTCCGATATTAGCTAGCATTCCTCGTTGAGGAAGGCGATAGCTCGGTATGAGTAACAAGTCTGCACCATACCAACAACTTCTAAAAATACTATGTAGCACTGGATGATGATTAGTTCTACTTTGTTATTGTCCACTGCTCACCACCCTTCATACAGGTTGAAGTTAATCACAATCAGGACTTATGATGATGAGTAACACTGTTAATCTATTAAGATTACTGCAATCGATTGAACAGTGATGCTCAGCGCTTACCAAAAAGATGATGTCAAACATCGATATAATGTATGTGAGATTAACTATCCTCACATCTCATATGGTAAATATAACATTAGAGAACTTGGAAAGATACACCTCGAAGCTAGTGATTGGTATTTAGACTGCATAAAATCTCTAATAAATTAACAACAATGTATTCATCATTTTTATACTCATATGTTGAGAAGTTTAACAGCATGATATGCTTCAATTTTTTTCAGCAATGTTCAACCTTTTAGTTTGACTGTCTATCCTTTTTTTGAAGTTACGTAGACAATATCTAAATTTAATCGTTGCTCTCACAGCAGGTGAGTGAGATATGCATATTTGAACAGTGAAAATCGTAATGTCATACACAGAGTGAAAAAACAACAAAAAACGAAAAGATAGATAGAGAGACAGACAGACCATAAAAATGTGTGACATTTTTTCTCATCCTCTACACTGTTATTCGATGTTGATTCAGCTCACCTAGAAATAAATGATAGTTTACACTTTATGTAATGTCTCTACAAATTCAGAACTAATATATATATATATATATATATATATATATATATTTATTTATTAAAGAGGTAGGTTGAATAAGAAAAACTGAAGATTATATAATCCAATAACTGCTATCTGGCAGGTTTAATAGAAGAATGAGATTTCTGTGCCTAGTGTAGACGCTTCAACGATGTCTAAGGATTAACATAGAGTTATTTTGGCTGGTGGTGACTAGCGTTCAGTTAACGAGTCCCAAATAGAACTCAATGTGTATCCTGGATTCCACCACAACTCAATATCAACTTAAACAAATCTGTTCAAATTGATTTATATCAATTTAATCAAGCGCTACACAATAATCAGTAAAATGATTCATGTTACGATGACACACAAAAGGCTGTCAGAAGGGAAAATCAATCAGAAAGAAAGAACGATGAGGATTATGTACAATTATAAATTACTAAGAATAGTCCCAGCGTGTTTACATTGGTGATTCACATAGAGAAAGGTTACAGTGAGACGTTGTATAGAAGAGACGGGTCAACTTAAATTATTACACCTCAAGACATCACACATAAATAAAAGAGAGAATATAAAATAGAATAATTCTACAATGGAGAATATTGAGCAAAAAGATGAGTAATTTAAGGACTTGCAAAAATATCAAAGAAATAAAAAACAAAAAAATATCTAACAAATAGTCCTATTGGTTTTTGTTTTCCTTTCCTCGTTACTATTACACTGTTATTCTCATCTTCTATCACACATCAACTTTATATTTCATATCCTGTGGTGCATTGTTTGAAATGTAAACTCTATGCTGTTTGTTTTTTTATTTTATCTTTTATTTTTTTGGCGTTGGTTTTTATTTATTTATATTTTGATTTTAAAAATCTTATATAATTTATGAGGTAATTGATGCAATATACTGTAATGCACACTGAAAACTCCATACCTGTACCACAAATACCGTTTGGAATAAAGCTGTTATTATTATTATTGTTATTATTATTATCGAGAATTTCGGCCCATATAATCAAAAAAAAAAAACTCTAACAGTTAATTGCTAAAACCTTGAGGTCTTCACTTAGGCGAAATACAACCTCCCATTACGAGACCAACCGTAATCTTTTAACATTCTAATCCTAATACAGTCAGCAGCTTTCATCAACATAGGCGGTGGCTTGGCGTGTCAGAAGAAAACTCGCAATTCTTACTTAAGATCTTATATGCAACCCCAATGATACTTGGCATATAGTTCTACTTCATATACGCATTAGAACGAAAAGACATTATGTTTTAAGTTTTCCCATATCTTCTAACTTTGATCACCAAGTCCGACGAAACGTCAACTAGGACTATAACAAAGTATCATCGGTTATTTGACAGAAGTTAGAAAATACCAAACAAGATTTTTATATTATCAACACTGAGATTTTGCTACCAACTAATCTATTGAGGTTGATGAAATTCTCTGACAAATAAGTGAAGTGATTAACACATTTCATCATTTTACTTCTTATTCATAAATAAGAAGTTGGTGAGAATCAGTCTTATAGCATCATCTTACAAAGCATATATGGGTAAAGCAGTCAGATGTTTGTTCATGGCGTTTAGAAGATTGTGTATTTCGCCTGATATAATGACAGGATTTGCATAAATGAAATAAATAAAAATATCTGTAAATATGTTTAACTAATCCAAACACTTCACTTTTGTACAAACTTCTTGGTTAAAAAAACACACCAAAAGATCCTATTACAATCACGAAGTATGACCACTAATATTAGATCAGCAAAGACTGAAAGTATTTCCCAACTGATAACTTCATAGTAGTATCATCGCTTAATGGGATAATGTAAAGATTATGGATAGTCTAAAATAGGTAAATCAGCTGATAGATTCACAATAATCTCTGTAACCTGTGGTCTAGAACACCTCTGTCACGTGTGCTGACCCAAAGTCTACTTAATTATGCTGCATCAGTGAAAACAGTAATCCACTGGATTAAGGCGGAAAATCGTCAGACCAAAAGGACTGATACCAGCCGGCGAAGTCACTAATTAATGGTTTGAGAATGTAGACAGTAAGTTATTTTATTTGAAGTTCATGAAACTAATGCAATCAACGCTTGTTTTTTGGTCTGTTTTCTTTACAACTGGACATGTGAATTACCTGCCTGTATGACAACAAGGATATAGTTTTTAAGTAAGCTGAATGAGAAATTTAAAAGATGAATCCAGCAGTAAAGTTTTATAGTGCTAATTTGGAATTAAATCGAACTTTTAAACTCAGCAACGATGAAACTGAATCGCCTTGGATCAATTTCACTCAATAGTATCTTCAAATTACAAAAATTGTTATCATTATAACAAAAGTAAATGAATAAGCTGACTTTAACAACTACTATTACCAACCATTGCTAATACTTGTAATAGCAATAACAGTTTACTTACCCATAAGTAAATCGAGCATAGAAGGGTATAGGCAGATAAATGCTTCTATCATTTGTGAATATATTAACTACACCAGATATATGATAACTATGTGTTATATGACTAGCTGAAAAAAAAGCAGAAAAAAGAAAACGCAAAATTATTCAAACGGTAATAGAAACAAAAGCTGTCATGATAAATTTACCTTTCTTCTATTATTGAACAAATTCACCAGTAAAGCGGCCTGCTTAAACCTTGGGCTACCAAAATTTCCATCCTACATATTGCATCTATTTCCTCGTATTTATTTTGTTTTATTATTAATGCCATTCCTCTGCGTACATTACAAAACATACACACAACTTTTATAGACTTTCAGAGGCTTACAGTTATGATTTTCAATGTATTAATCATAAAAATGAATCTATGATATCCAAGCATACTACTGAAGAAGTTGTCGTTGACTTTTTGAAAGGCTAATGGTATGTTGAAAGTAGAACGTAATACAAATTCACAGAGACTTTTATATTCCTATTCTACTTTCGGAACATAACAATGATGAAAAGTTCCATCTCCTTGGCAACGCCTAGATATCCAGAGGTAAATTTACCGAAAGCCTACGTGGAATGGAAAATACCTACATTTTAATAGTTTTTGTCCAAATAGGTATAAACGAGCACTGGTCAAAACTATGTACTATAGAACTAGGAAAATACGCTCTCCAGAGAAATTAGAGCAAGAATTTATGATTCTCCAAAAGATATTGAAAAACAACGGTTACCCTCAGAGATTCATTAACAAATGTGGAAGATATCAAACAAATCACAATGGGGAAAAAGCTTGTCATCATTTAACTCGATTTTAAAGGTGAAAATATTGCAGCAACAGTCAACAGAGGATTGAGTACGTCACTAGCCAGAGACTATCCTGCAGCTAAGTTGGTTCCCGTCTATAGGACAACAAGCTCTTTGGTGTAGTCAGAAGTAGACAGATACCCTTTTCATGTTAAATCCAACTGCGTATATGAATTTACGCGTATCTGCGGGAGCAGTTACATTGGGAAAACAGAAAGAAGAGCACACCTCCGGTTTTCTGAACATGTACCAAAGAGCCTACGTCTCAAAGGAACAAATGCTTACAATAGCGCCATTACCAGGCATTTCATTCATACGGGTCTGGTCACGAACTAGAAATCGCAAAATCCTTTAAAATTATCAGTAGACGAAAAAGCTTAATTCTTCTCAAGTTTGCCGAAGCAATCTCCATCAAACGGCTGAAACCCGATTAATGTGTTTAGAAGGAAGCAGTTGTCAGTCTTTTCTTGACCTAGCGACTGGATGCCTTTATTCTCTCTTTCGCTTGATTACGTAATCTTTGGCTTTAACATCCCCCCTTTGATATAGTGTAATTCTGCTTGTCTCTTGTTTCTATGGTTTGAGTTGAACTCAGTACATTTTTACCTAACTTATTAGTTACTCATTATATTACGCATCTCTCATCTTTTATAGCCCTTACCACTGCAGGCATACATTTACTTTGTTTAAACTTGAACTCCCTGTGCAAAGACAATATAAACGTAATTTTTTGAGCACTGTCCAGAACCTCCTGTCAACTGACATCATGTAAAATTTTCAATTATGTTAAGACTTTTCTATACATAAACTTAATTATTTATTTAAGCTGTAAGCAGCTCATGAGAAGCTAACGAAATAAACAAAGGCTGGTACCATCATATTCTGCACAAACCCCTGTTGTTCTGGCTTTATTCACGTATATAAAGGGGAATATATGTAAGAAGTTTCTACATATTTCCTTGAACTGACACTAGTCTGTAATGGCATGAAAGTACCAATCCCACTGAAAAGAAATTGAGAATGTGTAAAGATTAGCAAGTTGTGGTTAAAGAAAGAGAGAATGGCTATAAGCAGTCAGTGAGAACTGATACACACATTAAAGATATTACTTCTGCACTTTAAGCTAAGTTAGAAACAATGATTCAGATAATAGTAGTGTTACAATTATGCTTAAATGAAGAACAGTATTGATGGATAATAATCATTTCATTTGCCAGTGTTGGTGTGATGACAACAGTTTTGAGAGGTAATTAATAGGTTGATTGGTGTCTCTAGTAATTTGACCTTGTCAAGAAGTCGACTATGACAGGAAAATATTTCATGAATAACCCCTATCCAGACATTAATGAAAACGAAACATGTATTTCAACAAAGAGTCTCCTTTCGACGAATTCACTCACTTAGCTGTACAATCGCAGTTATGTTTACTTATTTTTGTATGTGTGCTTACATTAAGTTTGTCCGATCAGAATAAACATAAGTTGGGGTTGTTGCTGTCAAGCCATTTCAGTAATGTATTAAGTAATCAAATTGTTCCAAAGATTTCAATATAGAAAAAATCGCCATTTAGATATCTAGAAAAATAATTATTTATTATTCTATTCCTATGACCACTTCAGCCTTAGTTAAAAATTATCATTGTCCAAATCGTCTTATTTTCTTCAACAATCTGTTACGTAATCAACCTGTGCACACGCTTATTCCTTAATTACTCTTCATTTTTCCAAAATAATGCATTATGCAGTCCACAGGTTGTAACCAGTTCTACCTTTTAATTGTGTGTATTAATCAAATTGTAACCAAGGTGGTGAAGATTGGTAGGAGGGTAGTGGTAAAAAAACAGACAACAGTTATTAATATCAGCCATGCACATGGTCCGGGGTTAGATCCCCGGCCGACGCACACCTTTACCTCGCTAAGCCAGAAATAATGCTGGTGAAGAGGAAAGGTTGGGCATGAGGCTAGCAACCCCATCCTGTAAAATTAAACACTCCTACAGAAACTTCAAGCCACTAGCTTAAGGCCCTATATCCCACTGGGAACGTGAAGGAAAAAGATAAATAAAAAAGTTGAATAAGCGTAATACAGTTACGTAATAAGATGAATACTTTAATGAGTGAGATGTGATTAGGATGTGCACAGAAGCAAAGGAAAATACGGAACTATGTAAGAGTTCTAAAAATTACAAATGATATAAGGAATTAGGAGAAAAAACAAGCACACAAACATCAAGTCAGTCGATGTCAACACGGTTGTTACCATGATAGTAGAAGTGGTTGGGTGATTCTCTTTTGTATATATTTTTTTTTATTTACAGCTTGATTCCAAACGGTATTTTTGGTACATGTATGGAATTTTCAGCATGGATATCGGTAGCCCAAATTTTGCAGGCCAACCATAGATATCAGGTGTGCGTCAGCAGGGGCTCGAACCCCGGACCGTGTGCATGGTCGGCGAGAGTCCTAGCCACTGTATGGCTAAGGCTTCAGAAATAAAAAGGAGACGAAATCGTATTGCCTTTGGTAGGTTGGTCTTCACTTTGTAGATCATTTCGAGATGGAAACTATTTCCTTTCTTTTCAAATATAGTGAAATTCAACTCTATATTCAGTTTTGTCTATGAATATAGACTAATTTACAAACAAAACAGACTACAAATGATAGTTTTCTAGTGCTGACTTGCAAGGATTTGAATTGTTTTAAGTCATATCACATACTGGTATCAGTTACAGAACCATTGAAAACCAAGATGTCCTGGTTACCTATTTCGTTTTAGTACAGGACACAACCTGATACCACTGAGATGGATCAAACCCACGACCTCTTGGTTACGAGCTGAGCCTTTCAACCATAGCTTTTGACTTTTATCAATTCACAACTTATATCAGCATTCAATTTTCCCACTACAAAACAATTTCCCATAAAGTTAGAGACTTAAACATTTTAAAGTGTTTGTTAGTTTACAGAAAATACCTGATATACTTCAGTCATATACATAACAATATAGTAATCTACATAAAATTAGTGAAAATGCTACAGATAAGTAAAGATTTCCACAATTTTACGTTAGGTTATATATCGCGTCGGTTGAATGACAACTTTTACAACGTAAATAATTTAACTATTGAAAACTCAAACGGATGAAAAGAGAAATTCAAACCAGTCGCCCATCAACAGAAAATTGAACGTCTCGAACAGAATATAAAAATGTGAAAAGATTTAACGAATTTCCCAACAGTTATTTTTCCTCTATTCGAAATAGTATAAAATTTTGACGAAAGCCCCTTTTAGGCATATACTATGATATTGATGACTGTGTCAACTAAAGACTGATTTAAATTGGTTAGATTACAAACGTATCATTGCATTTGAGCAATTATACAAACTCCGAGGTAGAGTTCTGGTATCTAAAAACACAGAATATTTCATAACTTCGGTTATTTTATAATCTTCAAGTATTGGTTTTGTAGGGATTTTAGTTGATTGGTTGGAGGATTTCATCATGAGCTGACATCAATTAAAGAACGATTAGAAAACCTGGGAGTACTAGACAGCTGTTTCGTTATAGTTTGGGACTCTTCATCAGTACGCACCCACCTCCAGGGTTCGAATCCAGGACCTTCCGGTTACAAGGCAAGCTGGTCCGTAGAAATATCACCTCTTTTTTATTTAACTACAACTACTTAATACTTTTCGGGAAACTATTTCATTTGAAGTTTTAGAATTACGTTATTTTAAAGAAAGCGTTGGCTCAATAATTCTTCTGTGTCTAATGTAATTCACAGAATCTCGAATAACTACACACGAAAACCTACAAGTTGGTAGGAGAGGCAGCCGACACCAGAGTTCGAGTAAGCACAAAGAAGACACAAGTGATGGAAATACATAAGTAAAAACAGCTTTGGCTGGAGAAATTTGTAAGAAGTCATCTCTTCCGGCGACCATTTTGGCAACCTTTTTTTTATTTACAGCTTGATTCCACACTGTATTTTCGGTACAAGTATGGAATTTTCAGCATGGATATCGGTAGCCGAAATTTTGCAGGCCGACCATAGATATCAGGTGTGCGTCGGTGCGGGCTCGAACCCCGGACCATGTGCATGGTCAGCGAGGGTCCTAACCACTGTGCCACCGAAGCACATACCACGTTGAAAGCAACGGTTCTCGTCCGACCACCGAAGTTAAGCAACGTTGGGCCCGGTTAGTACTTGCATGGGTGACCGACTAAGAATACCGGATGTCACCAGCTTTCCTGCGTCGGTGGCACAGCAGTAGAGTGCTCGCCGACCAAGCATGTGGTCGGTCACCTCTTTCCCTTATCTAGGCATTATCGTTTCAATTACAGGCGGCATGGATGAAGATGTAAAAGTTAACCAGAATCACAAAGACAAGACACACCTTCATTAATCTGAAATCGGCGTGAAAGTTTACGGCACTCAGCATAAGAAACAACATTCAACACTAATGTCAAATCACTTCTTTGGTATAGTTCACAGAATTTGTGCACGGGTCACGAAAAGCATTTCCAACAGGCTACTGTAGACACTTACATCAATAGCTACCTTCGTTCAATAATGATGAATATTAGATGACCAGCCAGAAATGATTAGCAACAAGGAACCTTGAGAAGCAACCAACTAAGAATTTATGGCACAGTAAAAATGCCCGAAGAAAATGGAGATGGACAGGATATATATTAAGGAGACTATTCACTGACATCACGCACCATATCAGCCCTCAAGTGGAACCCGAATGGCAAAAAGCGATCTTATAGGTAATCATGAAGCTGGCTGGGAAAGGCCTGCTTAGAACGAAATGAAATGGAGATGTGCTGTTGAAGGCCTATGGTTCTACTCGGAACCCAAAGGAATAATAATTAATATAATTAATTTTTCAGTCAGCGCCTTAAATGACATTTGTCTTTCATGTATAAATAAGAATAGAATTTAGGCACACTGTAGTAGAGTACATAAATTTCACAAAAGGATATTTATTACATTAAAAATTTTTTTTAATAATCTGATATAGCGCATAATTTCTCAAGCTGACATGTGGAATCTGATTTTTCAGTGCATAAATAAGTAAAACTCTATCACTCACACTTATAGTTTAAATTTCTTTTTAAATTGATCATTTTAAAAGAAGTGAGTTGGAAATTAAATCAGACCTCATTCAAAACATTCTTACCCTACTTTTTAATACACTAAATAATATTTGTGTTGTAATAAACAAAAAGTATCGTCTTTAAAAGAAAAAGAAATGAAATATAAAATATTTTTATTTAACTAGTGACAATTCAACTCGTGATGATGTATTACTTCTTTAGACAATGCATTCTGCAACAGTATATATATATATATATATATATATATATATATATATATATATCAGACAAATTATTATCACTATTACTATTACTGTTAGTCATATCGTATTTTTGATTAAAATGTAGGTGTCAGTAAAAGCAAAATTGTATTGATCTTATCCAGAGAAAGATAGGCAGTGTTATTAATATTATTACTATGATTATCAGTAGTATTTATTATTATTATTGTTATCAGTATTATTAAAAGTATTGTATACAAAAATAACAAAGCAACTATCTATGATAATTACAAACTATATATTCTAAAATAAATGTCTGAAGAATTTTTGTGAGGTCTATTAAATTTGAATAGATGAAAGAAAAACATTAAGAAAAATATGATATATTGTTTATTTTTTAATTTGTGTGTGTGTGTGGTAAAATAGGTACGAAACCTATAGACTTATATCACAATGCTAGAGTCATGTAAGCTTTATATGTTCTCTCTTTCTCGATCTTATCTCTAGGCGGATAACGAGTTAACAACACACCCTGGTCAATAATTTTATGAAATTTCATATATATATTGTTGTACTCTTAAAAAGCTAAACACACACTAGCATGACAGAAAAAATAATTAACACGACTGTGATAATATGCTTTGTATCACAGTCATTTATACTATAAATGACATCCTTTTGAGATGTCATTTATTGGATGTGGTGTAACTTTCAATTGATACTCCAGTGCCAAACTGGAGGATGTTTTTAACACATGTCAGACAAAGGTATCCTATGTAACCGTTATATGCAGTTTTTATGGATTTTTTTTATAAATATCTGTTTTCCATAAATAAAAATGCCTCCTTCATGTGATTGGTGCGTTTAAGGCAGTTAGCTGCGCTCAAAGTTTAACTTAGCCCTTTTAACCGGCATCTTTTACTACTTTGGTCTTAGTGTCAATTTCATTTTACCGAATTGTTGTATAATGAACTAAATGTAACCCATTTTCAATCCTTTGTTCTCTTGTTTCCTTTCATTTATTTCCAAATGGTTATTCATTTGTCAACCTTCCCGATTACACAAAACTACTCACTATCTTTTCACACATTGTTATTCTATACACACTGATTTATTTTATTTATTAACCGACGATGCCGTCTGACCTTGCTGTCAATACTAACACCGTATATATAAATTCCTTAATAACTGTACAGTCTTTGAAGTGAAGTTAAGAAAGCATATCTCTTTTCTGACTTATTTGTTCTTGAATAACATTCACTAAAAATCATTTAAAGTGATAGTAATTGGGAATAATAATAATAAAACTCACGTGAAATTGAAATCATTGCAATAGTTTTCGGTATCACTGTACGAGGTGAAATCATTGTTTCTGTAATATTAATTGATATGGCTTCATCATGAAGACTAGATTCAATACTCTATAAAAGCATAAAGCAACGCCAATAGTTAATATTGTGTATTAGTTAACTTACTAAACGTAAGCGAAACTGAAGATTTTTTAAGGAAAATAAACAATTAGGCAAATAATTGACAGATATACATCCAAGTTATTTTGGTTGATGGTGTCCAGCAGCATAATCCAGGACTCGTCAGCTACACTCCCAGCGAGTGATGGCTATTCTACTGACACTTGAACCCGGCACCTCTTGTGTTAAGTGTGAAAGCATCATCCACTAGGCTACAAACAAGAGCCATAACAACTTCACATGTCAATCCTGAGACATAGTTGATGAACCGTCCTTACTAGGAGTCACCATGTCCGAAGAAACCGAGCATTTCGGTCGAACACAATCAGTCAACGGGAAACAGAAACTAACCTAAAAAAGGAATGAAATTAATCTGTTCCCATTGATAAGCTTAAAGAAAAATTCGGGAAAACAAGTCGTGAAAAGAAATAGGGAAACAGGATATATATGTGAAATAAGAGAATAAGCAAACAAAATCAATAAAAAGGTCTGTAGACGTATCATGATGACGATAATAAATTTTAGAAATACACCTACAGAAAGCTTTGAAACACAACACGTGATGTTTTTTTCTTTACGTCGGAATTTTACTGTCTCAAAGATTTCAAATTTACTCTTTCACACACAACAGGCTTAGATTATTAGTCTAAAATCGTTTTAAATTATTCATGTGTTGGTTTGTAGGGATTTGACTGGTTACAGGATTTCATCAACCATTGGAAAACCAGGGAGTACTGGATAGCTGTTTCGTCCTAGTTTGTGACTCTTCATCAGTACGCACCCACCGGGATTCGAACCCAGGAACCTTCTAGTTACAAGTCGAACTCGTGGACCATTAAGCCACTGGGACCCGATCCAATGGCCTATGCATTCTAACTTCTGCCAATTCAGGACATAGTGCGACCCCTAGCCAATGTCTTCGTCGAGTATTTGTCCTCACACCTGACCTGCTGCACCCTACTGGTCACTTTTTTAAATTACTTGACTATTCTTAAGATTGTCGAGACATATTCCTACTCCAATTAAGTGTATGTGTATATAACAAGTACGTCAGTGTGTGTAAGATATGCTCGACATAACTGAGACGATACAGGTTGAAAAACGCTGATTAACTGAGTTAGACTACCTAACTGATAGTTTAACGCCCAATACATTGGCATTACTCTCTCAAAAACTATAATCTAATCTAAGCAACAAAGTGAAATAATTTAAAAGATAAAATTTACAAAAACCAACAATAATATAACAAATAGAAGAGAAGGTTCCTTTTTGTTCTTTTCATTACTTTATAATGATGACAGTACACATCATCACCTGAATCAGGTGACCATGAATAAAAATGACACACTTAAAACACACGACTACAAGTCAGAAGACAGTAAATACAGCTGACAGTTTGTTAGCGATGATGAGTAACGCTGACTCCTTACAATAATCTAATCACAAAAATCTACACATTTTTTTTCCTTTTAGACTTTTAATTTACTTCTTCCATATGTATAAATAAACGCTTGGTATTTCCATTTATAGAAAATACTAATACTGTACAATTCAAAAATTTTTCGAGGTTAAGTATCTTAATTCAACTGGTGTTGTGGTAGTTTAAAAGAAATTTTCAAAAAAGCCATTGATAAGAACAGCAAGCACCAGACAGATACTTTCTTTGTAGTTTAAAGCTTTTCATCAATGCTGAATAACAAATCCACTGGCGACTGGTCATGTTGTAATCACAATGTGATACAAACAAAAGGGTTTATGATTTTCAAATGATCACTACCAGTCAGAATCACTTTTTATGACCAAGATTGGTGCCTAATCAAGCATACCTTAAAGTTAATGAAATTTCGACAAAGCCAACATTAGTTTCCTGGGAAACTCAAAAAGTTTTCAGAACAAAGTAAAATCGGATATGAAAATCACATCACTTCAAACTATCACAATTTACAATAGCAAAAAGAAAAGTCAATTCAGACGACAGATTATCAAGAGATATAGGAAAAGTGAAACGAGTGAATAGAAAAGACCCGATAAAAAGCATTCGAAATTTCAGAAGACATACCTACGTACTACGGTTGAAGTTTGGATACCTCAACAAAACAGCGTTTTGAGAAGTTAATTCCTAATATCTCGAAAACTTCAAATAGCATAAAGTTATTGCCTAATACTAAGATTTATTAAGCCCTTTCGACAAAATTGTTCAACAAGCACAAAAATAAGAAAACAACTAAACGATCATCATTATAATAAAGGTTTTTGTATTTCCCAATGAATGAAAAACAAACGGATATTGTTTTTACTGACGTTTCGCTATTTAATGCTAATAGCTTTATCAATAAAAGATCATCATTTTATGCATTTATTATAATGTTCAACTTATTAATTCAGATCAAATATTTACTAGTCTTCTGAACTTATAAAGTACACACAATATATCCATATGTAATTGTGAATATGAACTTGAAATGTCATCTCAAAGAAAAAAAATAGACAAATATGAATATTAATGTAGTCTCATGAAGACCAAAAGCTATACTGACACGATGAAAATAAATATTCATAGGAAATTCCCCATCAGAAAGATGTAGAAAAAGAATAACAATGATTCAAAAGAGTAATTGGGCAGCAAGTCATAGAGACTCCTTTCTGAGAAGTCAAAATGAAAAGTGATGGGTGGCACAAATGTATTCACAATGAAAGCAAATGGAAGATGGGAAAGTGAACGTTTGTGACACACAGTGTTAAGAAAGCAAATCACAGAATATCTTATAGTGAGCTTTGACATGATAATCAGTATATCTACACATAAAGCATTTAGTAAGATGTAATGCTCTTTTTGACAAGAAGCATTAGGAAAGCCCTCTCTGCTAGACAAATTTACATTACTTCTGAGATGACGAGTATGGCAAGTGTCAAGTGCCAACCTGTATGCGAGTTTCAGAAACCGTTAAAGAGTGGAAATGATATCATTCCTAGCTAGAAAGCTATTCTACTTTGTTAATTTTCATCCTCTAGACTACAATTACGATTGGAATGACTAGAGAACACTATGTGCTGGACGTCCAATGATTCACTGATTATAATAGTCATTTACCTGACGGAAATGACTATAATTGTCATACCGTATTTAAAACATCAGTCATCTTAACCCGATTTCAGTGGCGAACTGTTATCTCTGTTTACTGCGTCCTCCTTCAGGTCTTGAAAAGATTCCACGATTCCACTAAAAATGCAGGGTCGAAGTAAGTTTTCTACTCGAACTGAGCTATGTAGTAAGCAAATCCATCACGACTCCAAGTAAATCAAGCTGCTTATGAAACGATTTCATGTGGTATCTCATTGACTCATCTTCCTTCTTAATGATCTCATAAATATGTTTTACAGTTCAGTGCCTTTATAAATACACACAGTGCTAGGATGTTATCCAACAATAATTTCCTCCATCTTCTTTGATACCTACTCTTGTTCACAGTTATTGTAGAGACGTTTTCAGTTTATACTTTAGCCGTTCCCTTCCTAAGGAGAACTGATAAGAAATGTTTCGAACCAAATACTTAGACCGATTAGCTGTTACCACTGACAATGGGTTTAGTTTCTACTTTATAAATAGTATCATACCATACAAAACCAAATATTTATATTATATAACTTACTGTAATCTGAAGAGTTTGATCTCCAAGATATAAGATGTCAATTGGTTTTGTTATAGGTCCTGATTGACTGGTAACCGTACCAAAATACAGAAGGTTAACACGTGAGTACAGAACTACAAAAGAAGCAGTTAAAAACAAACTTAGCAAACTTTGAGAAATATAAATCAATAAAAATTAGTGAGTTTTTTCAAGGAATGAGGAACAATGACAACCAATATAACATAACAGACCAAGATACTGACACAGGAGATAAATATACCAAACCATTAATGCTTTTATAAACTATTTGTAAAACTACTTAACTACGGGGTTCAATTAAATATTCGTATAACTACCTTGTATTGACTGAATAATACCAGAACGAAGAACATCGACATAACGTTTTATAGTAGGAGTTAATTTTATTTAGTGAAACAAAAATGATGTAAGATAACCTAGAAAAGTAGTTGTTAAAGACAGTTTACTGGTTTTCTCTTACATCAGACTTTTCGATGAGTTTTATGTAATTGTTATATTATTATGGTTAACTGTAAACAAAGAATAACAAATCTTCTTCAAGAAGACATTAGACATCTCTTTTGCATAAAGTGTGCTTACAAATGTTGTTCTGAACATATTGGATAACTTGTGATTTTACGGATTTTATATAAATAAAGTATTACCAAGCACTATATTATAGACTGTTGCATTCTACAAGCTGACTCGAGTAAGAAGTAAATGAGCCTTTTGATAGTCTAAGTTATTTCAGTTCTTTCGATTTTCTTTCATTTTGAGAAAGCAAGCCTTACCTGACTTAGTTTATGACAACTGTATTTTTTCAGGAGTTGAAGCAAAGAGAAGTAAAAAGACAAAAGTAACAGAAAAAATGTAAAGCACTTAATATTCACTTGTATTAGTATCCAATTCAAATGGTAATAGGCTTCTTTCAGAGATGAAAATGCTCATATTGTTAGGACAAGAAGTCACTAAGATACTAAATGAAAATATACGGACAGAAACTGACAAAAGCTAACTTATAATAATTGTTAACTAGTTAAGGGCTATAGAGTCCTCTCCTTATTCTTCACATCATTAGAAAGTCGAAACATTTGCAGGAGGTGAGGAGGTAGATGAAAACAAAAATACTTCGACAGTGACAAGACTGTTGATTTATGATTGCCAGTAGAGACACTTGAGACGGTGCATTCAATTTACTGATATATAATAGTACCATAGCACAATTAATATGAATTTTAAGTACTTTATGTGATTAACGTATAAACAATCATACTGTCTGATTGTTTAACGAGGTATGTATAAGCAGATATTATCTACGGCTTGAAAAATGTGAGTTACTAAGACGCAAACACACACATTAAAATCCAGGGAATTTTTTACAGTTTTAAAATCTAATGTCACAGGGTGGAAGGAGAGATTGATAACAGAAGCTTAGTCTGTCGAATCAACTGCAAATACATGTAATAGGAATGAATCAACACCTATCCCAGATATCGGTAAAATTCTACTACTCCTACGACAAATTGGAGAAGACAAAGAAAACTATAAAACTCAAGTTTCAAAGTCGTGTGAGTATAATTGATATGATTATGAACAATAAATTTTGTTCGAAACGTCATCCAATAAATAATACTGTTTCACTGTGTGATACATCTAATAAACAAACTAATATTGTATTACTTACTACCACAGTGCCCAGGTCTTACACATGTATTAATAGGAAATGTTTTACTTCAAATACACTAAAATATGCATGAAAATCATTAGGTAAGTCGTTTTATACAAATTGTTAATATTACCTTTCTGGGGAAGTTCATTTATCGGGATCAACACAGTTGGCAACATTAAATGTTGACCTGTAGAGTTTCCAACTGTCACACAGCTAGTTGAATCTTCAACAGATATTTTACCAGACTTGCACTGAAGATCATCCGCATGTGGTGAACTTGAAATTCGAACTAGTTCCATTTCATCCAGGTCAGTGTGTACTTTTAATAAATTTGTTATTTCAAATGAATTAAGTATTTTGGATGGAAAGAAACAATTACTGATCGTACTACTTTGACCAATAGAGTTAGCTGAGGCATGAAGACGAATGCAATGATCCGTTTTCAGATTACTAGGATACACTTCCACGTTGTTGATCTATAGTTAAAGAAGGTATTCAGAAGATATTACAACAAAAACTTCAGAAGTATTCTTTGGTGTCATATGAAGTATTTGAGAGGATTTAGAAACAAAATAGTCCTATCAAAGTATACTGTCATACTTAATGCGACTGTTAGAAGCTATGCGTCAGCAGCACAGAGGTTAGGACGCTCGCCGACCATGCACATGGTCCGGGGTTCAACTCCCAGCCAACGCACACCTGATATCAATGGTCGGCCTGCTAAATATGGGCTACCGATATCACATGCTGAAACTTCCATAGTTGTATCAAAAATACTGTGTAGAATCAGGCAATAATAAAATATAAATATAAAATATAGACTACTAACTCATAGCTGCCAATATTATATATATATATATATATATATATATATATATATATATATATAATGAAAATTTGACTTAAATATAACATAACAGTGTTTGAGAAACTTTTTATATATGCTGTTTTTCCTCTCAGTACTAATCTAGTGTAATCTTAGAGAATATACTGCAACTAAAAAGAACCTTCTGTGGCTAACAAAAGGCGGTTCGAATGTTTTAGATCAACTGCGTGCACCCGAACTTTGAGCTTTAAGACAAAATGAAGGCATCGATGACATTTAGATGAACATAGCGGTGTTGAGGAACTCGAAACGGTAATAAGGTAGAGGATGATGAGAGAATCACCAGTTGAAAAGGCTACAAGTTGTGATATAAAGTTAATGGTCGCAACTTAATGCTTCACTTATTTGTTGGGTTAGCGGTAAGAATTATGTACCAACATAGTTGGACCTATTTAAAATCTATTATTTTTCTAGGTCCAAGCAGTATAAGCATTCCTCAGATTTAATCATGTGAAGCCTTAGAACAGCAGAAGCAAATAATAAAATAACGCTAAATAGTGTGGGATTTGAGCTCAGTAACGCAACGGAAAAATCATATTATTATTTATCGGTCTGAGTACTTTGAAGATGCTTTACTGCATCGTAAACAATAGCCTGGCGTATTTTCATGTGGGTATGACCTTTCTGAAAGCAGAAAATAGTGAAAATTTATTGATTTCGAAGTGTCTATAAAAGATATCAGTATTACTGATTAGCTACGAAGGGATATGACTTAGATGAATAAAGGATTTTGTAATGATTTGTATATGAACCAGAAACGTGCTTCTGTAAGAGGTTTTTGAATATATTACGCACACCTCATTCTACAACATGATAAAATTGTTGGCCGCCGAACTCTGTAACTTGAAACTTTATTCTCAGGCTTAAAAACACCTAAAACATCTACCACTTATCCTTCCACAGATGTAATAACCGAATTATCACTACTGCAGTGTCTGCAGTGTTCGCTGAGGAAAGCACGTGACAAAAACACCACTACCCAGTCTAAGGCCATGATAGCAGAACTGAATGTTTACACTGGGTTATATATAAACACGGAGAAGTGGGTTTTCAAATAAGAGAGGTGAATAGCCTGCGCTGGAATCTCAGGGGTTAATGACATAATCCGGTTGTGAAATTAAGCTATGCTGAGTTGCGAAACCGATGACAAGAAATAAGATAATCTAGCAGTAAGCATAGGCTGATGGTTCAGTAGGCTGTACATTCGAATCGTCATCTAGAAATAATCTTAATGTGATTATTAATGTTGTTTTCGTTTTTCTTGATCATAACTTACACAGTGGCGATTTGAGTTCCTGAATAATTTCAGATTGTACAATACTGAATTAGCACTTCAATGTTTTAGAGTGCTAACTCTTTACATGGAGTGGAGTCTGTGGTGTTAAATAATTTACTGAAACAGTATTTAAGAAGTGTTGATGTTCACTGTTTGAAGAACTTATTTAATCGAGAGCCTTAAGCTACGTATATAAACCGTCACAAAGGATTACCAAAGGTTTAGTATGCCAGATAAATCAAAGGATTCTTGTGGGGAAATAGTAAAATTCAGCAGTCTTTTTGGGCGAAAAACCCACTGAGTGTGTTAAAAAATATATGTAAAATACCTAGTTATTGAGGTAGCTGATAATCAGATACATAGTTCCTGATAATCCTTTTTACATCTGATGCGATGTCTAACTTTAAGTGAAACAAATTAAATGGTAAAACTCATTAAAATCGTGAGTGAATGTTCACAACTGGTTAAACGTAGATTTACTGCTTCAGAGTACACATTTCATACACATAATTTAGATACTATCAACTAAGAATATCTGATTGCTGCATATCACCTAAGTAGCCGAATTTCATACATATACTTAAAGTGCAAAGTATAATGTAAGCTAAGGTCTTAAATACTTTCAGAAAAAGATATATATCTAGATACATAAGTTTCAATACTGATCCAATATCCAATATCCTGATTACGAGCTAGTATAAACCAGTGATTTCTTTGAGCTCGCTTCTTGATTGTGAGGTAGAGGTTCCAGATCTTCGGTGAGCTACTGCGTAGTAAGTCCCGCCACTCGACTGCTTTAGCTCTGGTAGACTCCAGGAGGAGTGGTGCGGGGATTGGTCAAGATGTGGTTTGTAGTATGCAGTATGTTAGGACTGTTTTGCTGCCGTGAATGGAGTTTGACCTAACTCCCGTTGGTCATTCGGTGTAGTCATAAAAGCAGAATAGTAATAATAATAATAATAATGATAATAGGTTGTAGTGTAGATAAAATAGGTTGAGATAAGTGGAATAATAAAGGTGACCTAAGGAAAAGATAGAGTGAGAGAAGGCAGAATAGGTCGTGGGGATTTAGTTTGTACGCTTATTCACTGACAGTGTGGTTTCAAGTTTTATGAGGATAAGCCATTGAGACACAAACCTTGCATTTCTGCATGATTGTCTAGCTTCCGCTTAAAAATCTCCAGAGATGGCGCTGTAGTCACGGCCGCCGGTAAAGCGTTCCAGAGACGGCAAACACGAAGCGAAAAGAAATGTGATCGCACTCGAGTCTTTGGTCTCTGGTGTGCTATCCTTAGCGGGTTACCTCGTGGAAGCCTATAATCACTTAATGGCAGGATGCTTTTACTTGGGTGGGCCTGGTCATTTAGGATCTTGTAGACGGTGATGAGGTCTCCCCTGTGCCTACGATAACTAAGTGTGAAAAGTCCTAATTTCTTTAGTCTTTCCTCGTATGATTTGTTGCGGAGGCCGATCACCCATTTTGTCGCTCGTCTCTGGACACTTTCTAGAATGTTCTAGAATGATGATAAACTATTTTACAAACACATTACGACGAGCACCGATAAAAAATTTGAAACTCGTCTCCACTTAGGATTAAAAAAATGATTTCCATGGAATGAATTTACCTCTACAGAATAAGTAAATGGATTGAGTATTTTGACATGGAACACTTTCTTATTTTCAACCATCGACTCAAAGTTGACAAGAGGTAGTAAATGTTGATCACTGATGTAACTAGAACCAAACACCTTCAAATCTAAATAAATGAAAATTATTTTTTAAAACAACCTGATATTTCACAGCACCCAAAGACGTCTGAATGTACATAAAGGCTTCGAATTCACCGACAGTATACGGTAAGAAAGTCACATTGAATTTTGCAGAGGAAGATGGAGCTATCGCCTAAAAGAAGAGTGATAGCAAGAGCACAGACTTTACCGTTTGATTGAACCTGGACCAAAATATAAATCTAGGAGCTCCAAATGTAGTCACAAGCTCAACCGACTGGTCAGAATCGATGTTAGTTATTGTAACTTCCACACGTTTAGGATGCAACAAAGGTCTGAAATCAGCTTTTAAGTGTTAATGAGCATACTGGTAACCGAAGTCCAAAAAAGTTGGATCGAAAGACAATCCTGAAAATATAGCAAAGGCCTCATCATATCTGAATATATTTAGAAGACAAAATTCAGGTTTACCGGTCACAATTCTCGGTCCGTAAGCGATACTAAGAGTTGAATGAATGACATTAACATTAACTTACGAAAGTCTCTATGCCGTCGACAACAATTTGTACTTCGTCTTCCTCATCAGAATCGCCTTAATTAAAATATTTATTATTTGAAGGTGCTCTTACCATCAAAGCAGGCATCAGACGTAAACACGCAAAAATATGTAATGGTTAATAGTAAAATAAAACTTCTGACACTTCTAGACGTGCCGCAGAGACCCATTCTAGACAGTAAAATAGAATACATGCGCACGATAACGGCCTCATTGACCTTGAAAATTGAAACGACTATAGTTACTGACCCTAAGATATTATTAAGTTCAACAACAACCTACACAAATTCAATAATCGAACACTTAATTGAATGTAATTTATACTAAAACGATGTGATTTGCGTTAAGAAATATTAAATCACTTGTGATTTAATATATATGTATGTACAAAGCCTGAAAAATATAGGAAGAGTGAAGTCCTACATAAGTCTAACTAATATCCAGTGTCCAATATCATTTTACGATTTGATTTATTTGCGCTCGCTTCTTGATTGAGAGGTGAAGGTTCCTGGTCTTCAATAAACTTATGTCTAGTTCGTCCCGCAACTTGACTGTCGTAGCTTTGGTTGACTCCAAAAGGTGTGGTGCTGGGATTAATTATATTTCGTTTTTAGAATGCGGTGAGTTAGGACTTCATTGCTACTGTGAATGTAGTTGATCCTTTTACCATTTATTCCTCCACTATCCTCATCAAAAGAGAGGCTATAATTATAATGACATGTATAATTATTGTAGATTGTGCAAACTAAAAGACAGAAAAGGCAATAAAGAAAAGGTAAAAATATAGAGGTAATTAAATTTGAAGTTGAGAGATAGATATATCTATACAGTATCAATAATAATTATGATAAGTGTAAGTGAAGTATTGTTAGTAGTCGGAAGAGTGAGACAGGAGAGAATGTGAAGTCAAACGACGAATTTAGATGTCCACCCAATAAGTGCGTGGGATTTTAAGGGGATAGGCCATTTAGAGGCAGTCCTTGTTTGTCTGCATGATTGTCCAGCCTTCGTTTGAAGCTGCTCACAGACAATGCAATAGATATATCTGTTGGAGAGGAGCTACAGGGACGACAAAATCTCAGTGAAAAGAAGAGGAAGCGCACCCGAATCTTTGCCCCTGTGGGCTATCCTTCTGGGACTCCTACAAAGAAGCCGATACGTACCCAATTGCAGAACATCTTTGTTTGGGTGTTATCTTGTTATTTGTCATTTGTTATCCTGTAGGAAATAATTAAGTCATTCCTAAGCCAACAGCAGCTAAGTGTGAATAGGCCAAATTTCTTCAGCCTTTCGTCATTTGGTCTGTTTTGGAGGCCCACCACTCCCTTGTCACCCATATTTGAACTATTCTCAAGAGGTTAGTGTCTCTTCTGAGCAGCGGGAGAAACGATATTGTGCGTTTCAAGGTTTGATTTCATGTATGTTTTGTACAACCTCTGAAAGAGCCCAGAAGTGTTAGCATCTTACTGTTTATGTGTCCGGCTTATCACTGCATGTGTGCTCGCAACATCGCCCGTGTAATTTGCGGTTTTGTCAACTTTTCGGGCAATTATACGGCATGTCAGCTGTTTTAAGGAGCGCCACCAGCTTCACTTTGTCAGCATTTGAGCGGTTTAGGTGATTCAAGTTGGGACTAATTTTCCAAGCAAATGCGGTTGCCGTGATCTAAGTCCTTATTTAGCTCCTGTTGGATGAAGCTATATGAAAATTGTTGTTTGATATTGTCCCTCAACATTACGGCCTGTATGCCCGGCAGGACGCTTAAATATATGGTTCATGGAATGATTATTTTATATGCCGCCAATGCTTCGCGTACATTTCGATGACTGGCTTTTGAAAAAATTTCTTTGCAGCTTGCTGGCAACCTGTACTTAGCTGTAAATTCTCCGATCAGTTGTTGTGCAGTACCTGTTTGTCATGCGGAACCCGAAGAATACGGTTGATATTGAATTCGAGCTTCTGAACCTTCGTATGATATTTTGATTGCAAAAACTCAATGGAATCCATAGACACAAGGAAAGACTGGTATTCATAGATGGGCAGAAACAAATTGTTCTACGAACACTTGCAACATTCGCTGTCTTCTGCACACTACAACATATTCTAGTGCTCTGCTGGATTTGAATATTTTAAACATCGTCCTGATCAGGTACGTAAAGATATCTGAGGTGTGCGCCATTTTGTCCTATTATTGAGTATACTTTCATAAATTTCACGCTCTCTGCTATTATCCTGAAGCTAAATCATGTGCGTTTGTACGACACCAATTCATCTTCGAATCGTGTAGACGTAGTGTCCTACCCCTCAAGCCACTTTTCTCTGAAATGTCACGTATATACTTCAAGACGATCCTTTTATCAATTACTATTATACGCTATTTTAATTCAGCTGCAACCATGCCGTTTTTATCATGATTAACCAGACCACTGTGTATATTATGCTTATTTAAGTATCTCTGAAAATAATGGTCAAGCGACAATTGAAGTTGCGTGAAGTTATTACCTCTTCAGAACATTTTTTGCATTCTTGACACTTCCGAGAAGTACATCTTGATATAGCATGAATGCGTTGAATTCAGCAGATAAGTCGACTGGTCTATTATTTCTCTCATGAGCATTAATGGTTTGGGTTGTCAGTTATCTATTCAAATTGATGAAACGCTCCTGAAAATTCAGAACTTAACCAAGCAGCTAATTGTTGTTTGAAATTACCTCGACTCGACTGGACAATCACAAGCGAGTAAACCAGATGTTTATCTCAGTCGCGGGCACTCAAAATTACAGCCGTGGACAGGCTGCCCTAGTCGTCAAGGAAAACGCAGTTGACGCTCATTTTGCTCTTGTTGGATGAATTTGTGTAAAAAGTTTTGTTGACTATTGTTCTTGAGCACTTTGCTGATTGCTTGTGAGGCAGGACGCTTAAACATATGATTCACGCAATGATTACTCGGCATGCCGAGTATAGTTCGCGCACATTTCGACGAATGTCTTTCGACAAATTTCTTTGCAGTTTTGCGACATTTTGTACTTGATCATAAATTTCTCTATCAGCTGTTGGGCGGTGCCTAATCCTGTTGCAGCAACCGAAGAATATGGTTGATATAGAATTTGTGAGTGTTCCTTCTCTTTTGCGTGGCGTTTTGATCGCTAAAAGCTAATGGAATGCCTAAGTGCAAGCGAGGATTAGTGTTCACAACTGGGCAGAAACTGCAACATGTTTTACGATCACTTACAACATTCACTGTTTTCTGCCAAAATTTTTAAATGAGTTAAATTCACACTACAAAATTTTATCACTTTGGTGGATTTGAATACCATCCTCGTGATCACCTACGTAAGGACATCTGAGGTGTACTTCATTTTGTCTTACTATTGAGTTTGGTTTCTTAAACTTTCGCCATTTGTTAGTGTGCTGACGCCATATTATTTGCGTTTGTTCAAAGTCTATTGGCAGAATTATTTTGGAATCGCGTAGAAGTGGTGTCCGACAGCTCTTAAAGCTGTGGACGAGAGGTTTAAAAGCGGTTGCAATACCAACTTAGGGAGGACTCATCGGTGATGCAAGTAAGGGCTTCACATCATAATCTTAAATGCCTCCAAAAGCAAACAAAATCTTCAGAAGCTATTATTGGTGAGAACAGGGCCCAAGCCCCTCTACTGCGAAACATATTATAGAGACAGGACATCAAATTGACCTTTGTACCTTTTCTAAACCTATCCACAAACGTGTTTGGGGCGTATTTTAAAGTTTTTGGAAGCCCAAGTGTGATTAGGTAGTTTAAACCACCTTTGTGAGTTCCAAAACTATTCGTCATCACAAGAAACCTTTGGTAAACTCCGTTTTGATACCAGTCAGGATAGATATACTAATACCTCTATTATTTGGTTTAGTGGTCTTAATTTTTGTTCTCATTTTCAACATGTGCTTTAAAGTCCACCTAAATTTATTTTCTAACCTCTTAACTCTATTAATTTCGTATTTATTCATATGACATGTCCATATGTGAATGAATTGTCCAAAATGTGTTGCGCAAATACAGCACTAAAGCATTCAGACAAATTACGTCTTCTTATTACTTTATCTAAATATCCATTTGTGTCAAAAATAATAACTGATGTAATCGCACACTGTGTGAACTCGTTAACGATGATATTAGTAGTTATATTCATATATACATCCTGTGAACCCTGGTTGTCTTTTTTCAGCTACTCTGTAATTCTAGTGACCTCGTGGGATTCGTTGCTGAAGAAAGTGGTTTCCAGTACCGTTGATTTTGTATTCTGCATTGAATCACTAATAAATATACTCCCTACACCTCAAATAGACATTCTAATTGCTAATAGTGACTACTAACTTTATATAATGTTGTGAGCTACAGAGTTAGGGAGATAAGCGTCGTACTGAGTAATGCGTTTAGAAGATACGTCCGCCTCTGAGTTAAAATGTCGTCAGTAAGTAGTACATTCTTGTTCTCGTGATAAATTTGTTAGCAGTAATTATTATCAGTACCTATGTTTCGGAAGTATAGTATATAACGAAACGAACTAATTCAGTAGTCGAACGTTAGAAAAATCCGTTAAAATTGAAACAGGTGCTCATGTAAGGGAAAACTGATTATTCGGGAGTCGAAACGTCACGTAAATGATAAAGTTATCTGCAGTGTTTACACGCGAATGGTTAAGAATATTTATTCAGAAGTGATGGTATCTTGTTGATAATTTAAGGGATGTTTCGTTTGACAGGAACATAGATGGGACAGTGTAACTGAATAGAAGTTGTCAGCCAACTCTCATAAACTGTCAATGTCCAGCTCTTACTACGCCGGACCTCACGCTGTCCTTCGAAGACTTTCAGAAACACAATGTATTAACCAACGAGAAAACCAGAACACCTATTGGCGACTCAAGAATCCTTTATTCTTACGCCAACATGTAACCGACAATAAGGTTATTACACAAGGTCTAAAAACAAATGTCATAAAAGTAAATCATGATAATACTTCTGATAAATTTTTATCTTTCTGTGAACAGCGAACGATGAGACGATGACTGCCGGGTTGATGACCCGCGAAAAATATGGAGGAGTTGGGTTTGAGCAAACAACCATGAATTGATCGTTCAATCTTCAACTGCATTGACAGGAACTCTTGTCGATAGCTAGCGTTTGAGCCAGCAACATTATCCTTTCAGCCTCT